ATTGATGACATTTTGGTAAAGCATTAGTGAATATTTTAAAACACATAGATGCTTAAATGACCTGGCTTACAAATAAGAGGTGAATTCCCCAGCTAAACCTTTGAATGTCAGAGCACTTGGGTGGGCTGTTTAATCCATGTTTGGGCATTCAGCTTTTGATCTCAAATTCACACCTCTCATTTGCGTCCCTATTGCTGCAGGAGCACAGAAACCTCATCTTCAGGAAAGGCTTCAGAATATGCCAAATAAACATGCTCAGTAGTATCTTAGCAAATGACTGCAATTCTGATTTTTACACCTACTTAAACAAACAAACAAAAATCCCAAACCAAACAAACCACAAAAAACCCAAAACCCAAATCTGAGAAGCTCTCGGAATGAATTATAAAAACCTTTTTAAGAAAGTAAAGAAACCCTAAGAACAGGAAGCATTACTGGTAATAAGATCTTCCTATGTTTTAAAAGGATCTTCCAGCAGCGCTGTCTTTAACAACTGGAACTTTTTGTACCTTAGCCCTCCCCCAGTTTCCTAGTGTGCAATCAAAGCCACTTTTTATTGTGAAACACTGGAGCAGTCAGGGAAGGAGGAGAGGAAGAAAGCACAAAAAATAAAAATCAGAGTGAGTTATCAGGAAGGAGCTGCTGTTTTCATTTTTAGGAAATCTATCTTTATTAACATAAGTTAAACCTAAGGCATGCCTTCCATGCAGCTGCCCAGAAAACCTGGGTATGGTTATGCACGACGGGGCTGTCAGCCTTTGCTGTTATAATCGCACTGAAATCATTCTGCATTTTAGATGAAATTGATTTAAAACTACTTGGGCATCCTCACACTTCCAATTAGTACCATCATTTTTGCCTCTGGTGTCCTTCGAATATTCATGGATGCCTGCTTATTCTGCCATCTCCTCATTCTCCCTCCTGCCTCACTGTCACTACTACTACTACTACTACTGTGTTTTTAATGCTAAGCCTTCCGTTTATAGTGCCAGCAGCGTAAGACATTCACACGGAAATGTTGATTTCCCAACCCCCCCCCGACTCCCATGAATAATCATAGGGCTGCAGCATAGTAAAGTTTCTCTCTGTTAGACTTGCCTGTTAGATGTCATGGAAAGATGGATTAAAATTCATTGGACACAGACAAAGAAAAACTTTGGATCTACCCTAGAAAGGCATCTCTTGCATCCCCCAGAGGGGAGCTGCTTTTCTTTGTTTTGTTCTCTTTCAAAGTAGAGATCTCCTCCTTCACAGTAGGAATCCTGGAAATCTTGAATTTGTGTTTTGGGGCAAAACCCAGCAACAGCAAGGCAGATAGAACAGCTGCGATTTTATTTTCATCTTCTGGAAATAAGCATAGTAATGATCTTTTTTTTTTTCTTTTTTTTTTTCCCCTCCTCAATTTGCCCAATTCTTACCATCCACTGTATGTTCCCCAGGCTGCCTGAATCCCCCTCAGTCTTTTTTCTATCTTTCTAAGGAAACTGGGAGAGTAAAGTGGGAGAAGAAAGTCTTTCCAGGTTGAAAAATGAGGCAGTATTTTTGGACAAGGGAAGTATAGGAAGTGGCTTCATCCTTTTGCAAAGGGATGCGATAGTTAAAATGGCACGAACAGTGCTGTGCAAACCAGTGGATTATCTCAGTGCCCGTGTAAATGCTGGATTAAAAGAGCACGAGATAGGTATTTCAGGAACTAAGCAGGATGTTCGCTTGAAAATTGCTGAAGACTTAGCTGAAGATGTTCAAACACAATCGCTTGCTCTCTAGGGCAAGTGCGGAAGGACCTGCACTGGGTTTGCATAGAATAATGCCGTTCAGGAAGAAATCCAATTATTGAGCTAATTATCACCTTGGATGAGTGGTAACAACCAAGTTTAAAGTAAGAGCCCACTGGAGGAAAGCCCAATTCACCCACTAGTCCCAAAAGTTCACTTTGAGAGGTCCTAGTGGGCAGCAAAAAGCCCGGGAGTAAAGGCGTCGCCGGTTTAATTGTTAGGTGCAGTGTATTATAGTTTAATGCTATGCAAATTCCCATTGCCTTCAAGAAGGTGCAAACATAGCTTTGGTTACTAATAATTGTGGAAGATTTTTAAAGTCCAAAATGGATTACCTGACTGAATTTATTCAACTAAACCAATTTCAGGACAGAAGTTTGCTTTACAAACTACCTATATTACTGTAAGTCTTAAAAAAAATTAAAATTATGCTTCAAAATATCTGTATAAAGATTTGCGTTTTTGTGGTAGTGTCTGAAAAGGTAAATCCTTTCTTGTCTCATGTCCTGAGGCCCATGTTTTAGCTGCTTAAGCAATCGTTACTGTGCTTGGAATGGAGGATAAAGCTGCAACGGCGCCTGGTTTTGTTTTGTTTGAGAGCGCCCTTCTGTTTCCTTCCCTTCTTCCCAGTCAGGCTGCATTATCCCTCTCGGAGTGCCCTGAAGTACTCGTGATTTTCCTTGATTGTTTCATGCATCTTTATCTCAAAAAAAAAAAAAAAAAAGGGGGGGGGGAAGAAATGGAGCTAGAGCTGCACGCTGGGCAAAAGGATATTCCTACTTATTAGAGATTAGAATTTTCTGAAGTATTGCTTGATTTGTATGGGTCTCAATATGCCTCAAGAAGAGAAATGCTTTATAGGTTGGTAAAAAATTGGGGTAAAGAATAGTGTTGACTTGTACCTCATACTGCCACACTGATTTCAGAGGGACTGAAAGTTAATAAGGAGTCTCATAATCTTAAAACATATGCATTTGGAAATCAGCAGCGTTTCTCTGCTGAGAATAGAAAATTGATTGAATTCTATAACCTTGTCTTTATGCTTACTCTTGCATATGTTGCAGTTGCAGGTGGATGTATATCAGGGTAGAAGAATTCTGACAACCATTTTGAAGCAAAATCATTCTTTATATTTTGAGCTGCTTAGAAGGCCCTCCCCCCCATTGCCATTTTCTGTTGCATAGGAAATGAAAATTGCAGTTACAATAAGCTGAGCCAACCAGAGGCAGGAAGATAAATAATACATCAAATAAAATGTTAATCTATGTAGATAATGTACTAATATTAACCACAAATAATTCTAATTAAGACTCATATTCTCTCTAGCTGTATTTCTTGCAAAGTAAAGAACATGCCTTTTTAAAGCAAAACTCATTTGCTGGTAGGGAGTAGACATAAAGCAATTCTGTTCCTCTTCTGTCTACTACATGGAAGCCTGTTTTCCACAGCTTTTTGGGGGAGGCGGAGAAGGTGCATGAAAAGGCTTTCTAACATTAGGGATGTCAATGGCATCCTTCTCCCAGTTGGCTTCAGTATGGGCTTATAGCTTCAGCTCAAAAACTTCCAACCTTTTAAATAACTTGTATATTGACACACAAAATCCTGGGAGCCAATACTGCGATGAGGACACACAGACTCCCAGAGAGTACTGCAAAGACAACATTACCCCGAGCTTACACCATCCTTTTGCAGTGTTATTTAAGCTGTTTGAAAGCCTCCCATGTAACTTCTACCCTCTTTGCTGCAGTCTTCGTCAGGGCATGTCTAAGTTCTCGTAGCGAGTAGCTAAATTCAGGCTAAGTTGACAGGCCAGCCATCAGCTGGTTCAAAATCTCCGCTGTGGTCTGTGCTCCACCCTAATGAGCCAGACCACAGGCAGTCCCACCTGGCCAGGCTGCCCTCATCACAGTTTGACAAAGGACACGATGAGGACCACGCCTGGGTGTCTCCCTCGGTTCCCGTGCCAGGAGAGGTGGTGCGCTGGCACTTTTCCCCTGCGTTTGCAGGCTGTTGAACAGATGAGATTCTCACCACTGTCACATATAACCTTATGCTGACTGTTGTTTGGGGCAAGTGGCTTTGTCTTTACCCATTTTCTGCTTTAACACCATTTTCCAAGGAGTGATAATATTCATATATCTGATTGATAGACCTTCTGCTAAGGTTAGCGATTGAGGGCAAAACTTTTGAGGCAATATTCTTAAGGAAGTGTCCTGAAATCCTAAAGCACCACTGCCAGAGCAGTATTTCAGGGAAATTTACATTTGCTATAGCATTTCAGTTACCCAGGCTTTCACTTGTACCCTGGAGGCTTGGGAGATGGATGCTTGGGAGATGTTTTGCACTTCTGGTGTTGAATATCCCTAGTGACCACAACAACCACTCCCTTCTGTTGGACACATGCTTGCCCACAGTGATTTACTTGTTCCTTATTTTCAGGCTTTGTTAGTGTTTTTTGTTACAGGTAGGAATAAAAGCTCAATCCAATCTACCTTTTAGTTGTGTTCTGGTTTGTGACTGTTTTTCCTGTGGTATTTATATCACTGCTACAATGAAAATACTGAGTAGGGAATGTGTCATTCATAAGTGAGACAGGGTTACTGTCTGTATGGATTAAGACCCTGTAATTTACTCCTTTTCAAGCAATAAGAATGACAAGGGACTCTCTCGTTGCTGCCTAGCTAAATATGAAACTAAGTGGGTTTTTTGTTGTTGTTTTTCCATAGATGTTATACACCCACAGAAATATTTTCTCACAAAGAAAACCCCTTGAGTCCAGCTGTTTCCCTTAAGGCTCAGAAGGGAAGACAGACTAATTTAATATTCTTTCTATTCATTGTTTTGGTGGCACCTGGCTGATATGCTTCTGGAGCCAGTTCAATTATTTAAGTACATAGTGTTGTGTATTATTGTAGATGCCAAATTCTGAAAGGACTCTGCCCCACAAGAAGGAAAATGGGGAAGAAAGAGTTTGAGGAAAAGGAGGAGGGGCCATGGACACTTTTGGTTTGTGTGCTGATAAGCTACAATATCAATAGCAATACTGAACTGAAATAACTGTATATGCCTACTTGGAGTAAACCGATGAACAGGTTACAGTGTGAACTGCATAATGATATAAACACAGAATGAGAAGATATGTTAAAAAGAAAATTAAAATGTGGTTTTGGGAGAGTCTTATTTTTGTAAAAAAGAATTGGCTGTACAACATGTCTTTATTTCCAGCACCAAAAGGTCGGACCATTCCAACACCAGACTGGCAATTCAGATCGAAAAGGATGCAGGTATGGCCTCGGAGTTTGGGTGTTTTGCTTGATTTACAAAATGTGATGTATTTACACTGTCGAGGCTTTTCCTGGGAAGCTGAAGAGATGCAAAGGGTTTAAATGTTTTGTGAACAAACCAGAGCATTTTAAATGCAGCAGAGCATTGGTTTAGGTCGTGTGACTTGATAAGTAAATTAGCTCTTCAGTTACATGTGGCTGATCAGATAGCTGCTGAGCTGCGAATTGCTTGGTTAATCGTAACACTGCTGGTTTTGCGGAGTACGCAGCAGACACCTGAGCTAGACTTGAAGGTCAGTTGTGGGCAGGGAAAGGTTTTGGAAAAAAGCAGCAGGTTAACAGTGCCCCTGCTGCTGAGCAGTTTGCGCTGACAGGTATCTCCTCTTCCCTGGAGAGAAACCTTTTGGAGAGGGGGTAAAGGCAAGTTGGAAAATTTGCAGGAGGGGGTAAAAGGAGGAAGTAGGAAAGATGGTGGACTTCTCCTCTGGGTATTGGTGCATGAAATGAGCTCTGATCCATGGCCATGTAAAGCACCTTCCTGGGCTGCACCGAGTGGTTCCTGTGAGACTGGGAAGCAAGAGCGTTACTTGGCAAGTCAGTGGACGCGGAAAGCGTGTGGTGCCTCAGCTGATGCTCTTCAGCACCTGGCGGGACACAGTCCTTTCCCGGGGAAACAGGTACCAGTGTTTCATGCCAAATCCCAGTCCTAGTGAGAGGGGCCAGGGTTTCATACACAGGTTTCTTCGGTTTCAGTGTTCTGCAGCTGATTTTATTTTGCTACTGAGGTGTCAGGGGCTTGTATTGTGGAGGTATAAGTTTACATTGTAATTACTGCTGTTATATTTTTACACACCCTCCCTTTTTATCCTTATCCATTACATCAGTAGCATGAACAAATATACATCTTCAAGCAGAAATGGGTGTAATCCAGGGTATCCAAGAAGGCGAGAGAGGTACTAGCAGTTGGAGGCATATATAGTGCTCTTTCATTATTTATCATTTCAAGGCAGGGAGTTAAGATGTTTCCCAAGGCCGTTCTGTCATCTGATAGCAATAACCTTCAGCATTATTATATATGCTAATAAGTTAATTATGTTTTAAACCCCATAGCTCAAGCAAAACGTTCCTTTTGTGTGTGTGTGCTTAAAAGATTCGGTTTATGACTTGTTTAGATTTTCACTGAATATATTCCAGAAGGTGTATAGCTGAGTATGTCTGTATGTGCATACGCACCTGCATATACATACATACCAGGGCTGGATGCATAATGGCCATGGTGATGAAAAGCAGCATAGAAACACGCCCACTCCTCTTCTCATATTGAGGAGCAATTTGTAGGGGAAGCTATAGCCTGTCATCCTCTGTTTTTTTTCTCCATGTTAGATCTGCTCCTAAATGTGCACGTACGTAAATATGCATGTGTACCTGTATATATGTATCTGCGTACACTCTCGTGTGTACAAATACACCTACAAGATGTTGGTTTGTACATGTGTATCTATTCATGCACCAGCATTTTAAAAGTATTGAAGGTGAGACACTGATGCATTATAGAAAAGCAGTTCTTATGTCAAGCATATATTATGTAGAAGAGCAGAAGCACAAGACAACACCACATTGGATTATGCGGCACTGTGTTAGCATTTGTGAAAGGTTCATTCCCTTTCACGGATCACCATCATAAAGTGCTACTTTTAATCCAGTTAAATGCCGTGGACCTTTATGAGAGAACACTTCTAGACTGTGATGGGGTGTTTTTCATCTGGACAATTGGTCCAAGCAATGTGTAATTGGACAGCTACTATTTTTAAAGAAGTGGTAGCAATTCTAGTGGGTAATGAATCTTGTTTCATTCTTTCTGAATATACTAAGTCACCTCTTTTAAAATATGTATCATCATCTTACTTCATGGGCAAAGCCTTGAAAAAATCCTGGAGGAGTAAAAGAAAAAAATCCCAATAAAATCACTGGAAGCTGTGTGGCTGAATTCTTTAAAAATCTCAGAAATAATATTCAGATTTAAGCTTATGTACTGAAATAATAATGATTTATGGTTCCTTAAAATTAAGAACAATGTGTAGACATTAACTTAGCATTGCAGAGACTTTCAGTGGAGCCAAAAAAGTCTTGCTGTTCTAAAACATGGAGGTGATTTGATTCAGTCTGAAATATGTGTTATCACTAATTTGATGTTATATTTACAGTATTGTTCATATTAAACAAAAGTTTCGGCCTGCTTCTCTGAAGGGCTAAAAATCACTGAGGAAATGTAGGTTGTATAAAGTATCAGGAAGATACCATCCAGCTAGAGGAAAGAGCTTTATGCAGGAATAAAAAAGAATATGGGATTTTATGCAGAATGGCTTAGTGTATTATAAATTTTATTCTTTACAAATGTGTGCTGCTCTGGTTGTAGGAAATGATGACAATAATCTCAACTCCATTTTTTATGAGCATTTGACAAGATCTCTGCAGGAGTCTCTTTGTGGAGATTTGATTCTGGGCCGCTGGGGAAACTACAACACAGGAGACTGTTTTATTCTGGCATCGGATTATTTAAATGCCTTTGTGCACTTGATCGAAATTGGAAATGGCCTTGTCACCTTTCAGCTCAGAGGGCTGGAATTTCGAGGTAAGGATCCCTGATGATTTAAATCACAACAAAACAGCAACAAACCCTGTCTGGCTTTTTAATCTGTCACAACTCTATAGTAGGACGTAGAGTTTAAGGACCTTTCTCTCTGTCTCTCTTTTTATAGATACTTGTCTGTCTGTCTAAAAGCTCTGTACTTCTTTGTATCATTATTTGAATGACAATGTTTTGAAACCTAGATGTTAAGAAATTTGGAGTCGTGTTCTACAGTATCTTAAGACTTTCAGAAAGAAAGCACGTTGAGTTATTTGCTTGGTTCACAGATGTTTTAGGTTATGCTTAGTTATGTTTTCGGATTGTTCCTTTCCCTCCATAACCATGAAAACCAAAGTTGTTCTTAAAGTTGTTCAATGCAAAACTTGTCTTTGAAAAAACCCCAAATATCATAAGACTCCTCCCATGGAAAATATCCTGTGTCAGATCATGCAAGATGCCAGTGCTGAGATGGTCTCCGTCACAGTAGAACAGGAGGGGAGAAGCAAGTTGATCAGGCCTTCATGTATCTCTTATTTAGGAAGTGCTGACTTCAGTTGAAGAAGGGACCTCGCTTTCTTCCTCTTCAGTATATTCCTCTGTCAGGAAACTCCTCTTTAATGAATGGCAATTGCATCTGCCTCCTCGGTGGTGTGGCTTTTGTGAGGCCAGTTGCTTGTAGTGTCACACTCCTGTCCTTTTGTCTGTTGTTGTCCCTAAAGTAGGAAGAAAAATGAAAGTAAACCCACAGAACTTTTAAACAGCTTTTAAATTTTGCTCACGCTGCACGTGTTGGCTGCCTGGGTTTGTTGCTTGGGTTTGTGACCTTTCAAAGATACCACTTTGCAATTGCAGGTGATCGTAGTTTTGAAATCCCAGAACAAACAGCTTCCCAGGCTCAAGGGCTGAGCATCTAATGGGCAACATGTAGAGGAGTGTATAATCAAGGTGACTTTTCAACAAGGTTGAGTATGAGAAAATAGGAGACAGACTGACTCTTCGAATGCACTTAGGTGTGGGAGGATTAGACTAGGAAATAACATGCGTGGGCTCAAGTCTTGACTCTGTGACAGGCTCCCTGTAGGATGTTGAACAGGTTGCGGTAAATGCTTGATGTTCGCTTTCCTTCCTGGATGGTGGGGACGAAGATTACACTCCTGTATCGTAAGAAAGACTATGTAGAAAACAGTAAATACCTGAAACAGCTTGGTATTGTAGTACCTGAGGAGATACCTATTCAATATAAAGGCAATTTTTAAGAAAAAGCAAGTGGAAAGGACGAGAAAGAATTTATTTATCAGCCGTATAATTTCTTGTTGTTCATGATGATGATGATGTATGTGTGGCTCTGTAGCTTTCTTCAATTTCAAAGACATCTGTGCAAGTATTATCTTCTCCTTGTGTGCCCCCAAGGTAAGCAGTGGTGCTGCTGTGTCAGAGATAGTTACTGAGGTTAAGTACCCTATAGAGTCCACAGGTGGAAGGCTTTCTTTGGGTAGATTTGGAACTTGCTATTATTTCTTTCAAATTCAGGCCAGACGAATGCAAATTTATGTTGTTCTGCAAGAACAGTTAAATACTGTGGCAGTTCAAATCTCTTAGTTACAGTGCCACTGGTTTCACAGGCTGGTAAATCGCTGAGATAATTGCTTTTTTTGGTTTTTTTGAGGACAGTTTTAGTCAGCCTGTCATTTTTGGTTCCTCTTAGGTTGCTCAGTTATAATTCTTTATGGAAAGTCTGTGAAGTCAAAAAATAGTTCATTCGTTTCTGCAGATCCGAAAAGAAAAGTGACTTCCAGGAGGGATTTATGTATGTTAAAGAGGAAACGTATCTTGGACAATGCTGACATTTTGTTCAGATCTGTTGGGATTTTGAGTAAGCAGGACCATGTACATTTCCATTAACCTGCATTCTAATTTCAGAAAATTATCTTTGCTGATCATCCTTTTGTGTTAAAATAGTTCACTGTAGGATTTGAAACAAAAAGAAAGAAATCTCACTTTCACGCTTAAATTACATGAGTTTTGTGAGTGTTTTTTTTTCCTTTATGCAGTTGCCACCTACTGCTGAGTCCCTCTCCATCATCACCATCCCCAGGCAGTTCAGGAAAAGTAAATCTTGGAAACAGAGATGAAAAAATATGAGAGGATCCTCAAACCACGTCCTAGCTGGATAAAATGATCAGGGGCTTAGCAGACAGGCTTAATGAACTGGAAGTTGAATGGTAAACAACTGGATAGTTTTGTTGCAAAGTGGTTTGGGAAGACTTTGACTTTGAGCCAGGATGGTTCATTACCAGGCGAGTGCCATTTTGCATTTGGATCTGAGAGCAAAGCTCAAAAATTGCACTGTGCCACCTGTCAAGGCATCTCTGTATTCCCTAAAACCACAGTTTGAGTAACTAAATGGGTCTGAAAATTGACCTTTCCATGCAGATTGCCTTACACTGTTCAGTGTTACTATTGGAGCTGGTTCTCTTTGTGAATAGATCCAATGTGCTGGCTGCAACAGGTCTTTAAATTCAGCTGGGGCTGAGCCTCTCATTTGTTTCATGGGTTGCCATTTAGAGCCAGCTGAGTTCTCATCACGAATATCCCCTTTCCCAGTCTCGCTCACGCTCCTCAGGAGAAGGCCGGCAGCCTGCAAAGCAGCACCCTTACCTGAGGGTTCAAAAGACCTGGACCAAGAGAGCGGCAGCAAACTGTGAACTGGGAAAGCACAGACAAGTTACTGGAGGAGGAGGAGGAGTGGGAAAATGGGAATGGGAATCTCACCTAGATTATCTCATCTTCAGTACAAATCCAGTCCCCTATTCCTCCTCACCCTCAGAGTATCACTGGGGGAAGAGACTCCCTGGTACCAGAAGGAGAGGAAAAGGATGGAAATGGGAGGGAAATGGACTCCCCCCTGTTCTCCCTGAACGCACTGGATGATGTTATTCCAAGAATAAGAGAAAATGTGTCGTTAGTTTATGTCCTCGCAGACATGGTATGTAAGGAAGGTTTCTCCAGCTTTCAGAATATTTTCTCTGGGTAGAGGAGGTGTTGTGGGAAGAGAAACTAGGAGTGCATGAGTATTGTTATTACGTTGTTTGGCCTGGCACAGAGAAGCCACAGGATTGAATAAAGGAACATACCTGAGGAAAGAACAGCTCAAACATGTAGCATTTGACATGCCATGTGAGAGTTGAACCCCACTGGACCGTGCAGAATGGGTGCCAGAGAAACCACATGAATTACAAGCCTGCTTAAGGATGGAGTAGGAGGAACAGAGGAGCCCAGAAGGGAAGCAGGCACAAGCCAGATAAGATGGATCTGCCTGATGCAGACGGTAACGAAAGCTTCATGGACTCCGAAGTGTGGGCAGGTAGTCTGCTGTGTGCCCCGTGGAGGCTTGCTGAGGTGGTGTGCTGACACCAGAGGGTTGCTTATGTCTCCAGGTAACCTGAGAGGTCTGGTGTGCTTTAGATAAACTATGCTGCTGTACCATGCCCTGCCTGTAACAGGTTTTGTCCTTGTGTCAGCAAGGAGCCCTGCTGTGGTGGGGCCGTAGGGGTTACGCAAGGGTGCCCAAACACTGGGGCACTGAGTCTGAGTAAAAGGAGCCAGAAGGGCTGACCTGAAGGCAGAAGCTGCATAAGGGGTCGGGCCCAGGGCTGTCGCAAGGAAGCTCTGTGAACTGAGCTGAAACTCTTCCTTGGAGGGTTTTCTTTGCTCCTTCCTTTGGGTGGGATTGCTGCCTGCAGGGGCAGAAAGTTAGACCGGGCTGCCCCCAGGCAGCACCAGGAGCCATTTCCTGCGCGGACTCGGCACATCCTTCCCCATTTCAAATCTTGCAGCTGGTGAGTGTGGGGTACAACTGAATACAGCAGGATTTTTTTCTGCATAAGTGGGAAGAGTGTATGCAACTGCCATGGAAGAACCTGGTTGGTTTACAAAGTCAAGAGGCAGTTGTTAAGCACTAGGCTCATTTTGTCTGCTTTGGGCATCTTACATTCCTATTTTTAGCCGTCTGGTCATACACTGTTTTTCACATAGGACCCTGATTCCTTTCATTGTACAGAATGGTTTCCCACAAGGAGGAAGAAAAGGGCTAGAGGAGGAACTTGAAATCTGTAATTTCTGAGCTTTGGCTGCTTAACTTCAATTTCAAATGAGTAATTTTAATTGAGGGCCTTAAAAATCTGCTGTTCCTTAAATAGGAAGTCTGTGTTTGCTTTGGAAATGAGTGAATCAGAACAGTGCTCTCTGTGTCTGTGACTGTTTTCTGTTTATGAGTATACCAAAAGCAATATTTGCATTGTGGAGCTCTGGATTTTCCTATGGGTGTTTCTCATTGCGGTAGCTGAAAAGCTGTGCTGGCAATACTGCCACAGTAGTGGTCGAAGAAGGGGTCATAGAGTCTTCTGAATTTAAGTGTACTAGGAGCAGGAGGTATTGCCTCCCCAGTTTGCAGTCCAGCCTAACTGAAAGTTGGTATTATAAATGACTGATCCAGATGCCTTTCTAACGGTACGTAATAGAAGCATTTGGCTCAGCTTTTAAATGAAAAAAAAAAAAAAACCAAACCAAAACCAACCAAACCCTTGCAGACAGGGTAAGAAGACACAGACTGAGCAGACTGAAAGACGACAGTCAGCAAAGCTGGGATTCCTCTCAACCATCTTCAGTCCTGTTCAAATTAAGCACCTTGTGTGAATCAGTTCTTCCCTCTCCCTTTCTACGGAGAGAAAGGGGATGTGCCTGCATCGTGTCATTCGTCCGGTGTGTAAAGCAGGGGGGAGCCAGGCCTTGAGAAGAGACGCCCAACTCCTCCTTTTCCGAAAACAAAGAGAGGGTAGTAATGAGCTCAGGCTAGGTGAAAACATTCAGGTAGCTCCATGTTGGTGTGGGGGAATCAAGCCCTTCAGTAACTTAACTCTGCTGTCTGTGTTAGACCACAGCAGTATGCTAAAAGCAGCCTGCCAGAAGAAATACGTAATGTATCATTTAATTTGAAAGGAAGA